ATAAATTTTTGCCATTCATCTGATGGCAAATTATGCTATTGTTTTAAATGTCACTTTTGCATAAATCTAACTATGGAAAGTCTCATTGGGAAATCATAGAGTATAGTCTGAAAATAAAAACTTTGAATAAATATATACCTACTGCGTATTGACCCTTGCCTGTGTACTTTGCTAGGGGCTCACTTGTACTTATAATTTCATGTAATCTTCAGAAGCCTTCCCTCAAAAGTATTTTCTATTTATTTATCTCTGTGTTAGAGACAAGAAAAATAAATGAAATAGTTGAGGTAGCTTGACGAAAGTTCAGAGCTAGTTAATCTACATCCCATATTTTTTAAAAGGTCATTACATTCTTGGGTGGAATAGACATTTTTCCATTTAAAGACTACATCTCAAGGGGATCATTACAAACACAGCTTTGAGCTTAATTTGCTTTGTATCCATTTTCCAAATCACCAGAAAGACTTTAGTAGGCACATGAATGAGTCTTTTTTTCTATTTATATAACTCATTAGCAAAAAGTCATTTGAAAGACATTTTTATGGAATTTAAAGGAATGATTCAAAATCACAGCATATGAGAAATTTGTCAAAATTGTATCTTAAATGTCTTCATAGAGCTGAGGTTGACTCGGGAATCAAAACTAGTCCTTCCCCTACAGTTTACAGTCAAATGGTATGGAAAGACCATGCAAAAGACAGTTTCAATACAGAGTGAAATATCAGGGGATGTGGGAGCTCACAGGAAAGAAATTTTATAAAACAATTTATGGATCTTGAAGAATAATTGGAAGAAGAGACATTTAAACTGGGCCCTGAAAGATAAGTAGAAAGCAGTCATTACATTGTGAATAATCAGGCCTGTGCATGGGAGTAGTGAATGATCAGTGCATTGATTATTCAATAATTGGTGAATAAAGGTTCTTGTGGTGATATATCTTGTCAACTTGATTAGATTGAAAGACATCTGAGAAATTAGTACAGCATACTTCTGAGTCTATCAGTAAGGGTATTTCCTGGGACACATGACATGTGGCACAGCAACTGAGGAGAAATAAACCATCTTGAATGATTATAGCACCATGCAATAGGCAGAGTGCCCAGGTAGAATGAATGTAGGAAAAGAGGAAGCCAGCTCATATATGAAACTACCATTCATCTTATGCAAGGGCAGGTACTGCTGCTGTCATCATTCAACAAGATTGGATTTCAGCCTTTTCAGCCTTTCAACACAGACTCGGACCCATCAATTTCCAAGGAGCTTCCTCCAGGTCTTCAGTCCTGGACTGAGGATGCTTTGGGTTTTGAACATTAGAGATGATGCTGAAATGAGCAAATCATTTGGCTCTGGTGGAAGGTAATTCATCTATAATGCATATAAAGAACACATTATTATTGATATATCTTCTAAATCTAGGATTGATGCATCAAGGCATGAGTATCCTGAGGCCCTTTATTCTTATGGCATAAGCCTGTAAAGTTAAATTAGTCATCTTCCTCCAAACTATCATGTTTAGAAAACCACCAGACACATATTTTCATTCCAAAAATACTAAATAATTGAAAAGAAGTAATGAAATACTAAATAATGGAAAAGAAGTAATGAGTGAGAGATCTGGAATAACTATAAAATCCAATGGGTCAATTCAATTAGAATTTAAAACTGAAGACAAATCCAACTTGACTCAATGTCATACTTTCCAGACCCAGGGAAGCAAATTTCTATCATATGGATACATTGGTAAAGTAGCCTGACCTACAGTTAGCAGGGAAAATGTTGGGCCACTATACCTCCTGGAAATTCACCCAACCTTCTCCTCCATTGACTATCTCGGCTCCTGGAATGGCTATATGTCTGGCCTTCCAGGGTCTTCCAGGCTTGGCATCCAAAGTTCATGACTCTACTTATAAAGACATTTTTTGGAAATCTAGGTGATACACTCAAGACTTTGTTTACTATAGCCATACTACATTACACATTTGAGTAAGAAGGCTCTCCAGCGTGAAGTAGCAAAGCCAGAGATGTAAGGCAGAAACAGGAAGTTTGCTGAGAACTGTAGTTCTAATTATGAGCTCTTGTACGACTGGAGGTTATGATGTTGAGTGAAATAAACTAGACTCTGAAAGAATTCCAAGGTATCTCACATATGTGTAAACTAGATCAAACATGTGTGTGACAGGAAGAAAGAGAGGAGAGAGAGAGAGAGAGAGAGAGAGAGAGAGAGAGAGAGA